TCCTAACCTTACCCCCTTGTGAGTGGCTCTTGCATTTGCACAGCTCTTCTTGCACTGAAATATTCACTGGGAAATTCTACATTCTTCTACCTCGTCCTTGGGCACAAACACAGCCACGCTTGACCTAGACAAGAGCATGTTCAGGAACAGCAAGTTCCTTCCACGAAAGGGAAAAATGAATAGTGCAATAAGTGAGTCACCTTACTGTTTGGATACAGAATTATTTAAATCCATGCACATCATTAACATATCATTGACCACAGCAGAGTTTGACATGTATATTAACTTCATCCTGTTTGCATGTAAGAGAACAGATGGGGGCTGGTCAGCCTCATATGTCAGGATAAAAGGCCTCAGAAACTGAATAAGATATGAAACATTAAGGAGAATTGGACATTAAGATAGAGTTCAGGCTGAGTTTTCTTACAAGTAGAAGTAATAAAATATACTTTTATTATTTTAATTACCATGGCATGGCTTGAATTGCAAAGGTCACTCTGAGATCTAGAGGAAGAAAGAAAAGAGTATGATCAAGAGAACAACCCTCTTTATTATCTTTGCCATTATCTACTACCAAGGTTACATTCTTCTTGTGCCGAATAGTTATAGCACCGGGCAGGTCTGCAGAGTGATTTAGTGTGTTACTTTGTATGTACCTATGATTTTGTTTGTGAGACAGTTAAGTGTGTGCTAAAAGATCTGGTTTTCAGGGTGGTGAGTGTGCACAATTCCAGCTGGAAACAACGGAGGGCATCTAACAGATCTAGTGTGGACTCTTCCATGCACAAAGAGACTGTGTGTGCTCTGGTTCAGGGTAGCATCTCTCCTTGCTGTTGTGCAGGAGTATTGGGAGCCAGTATGTTTCCATAATGGTTGCATCCTATTTTGGTGTCAGGAACACCTACAACTAGCCATGGTGTCCTCCTGCTTTAGAACTGCTCAGAGCTCTTTTCTGACCATTGTATCACGGTGCTTTGGGTTCCTTGACACACAGGATGGCATTTCACCTGCCTTTCACAGGATGAAGTACTAGAAAAAGGAAGGGGGAGTGACACCCAGTGCTGCAGGTAGATCCAGGTCTCTTTGGGATATTCTGTGGGATCTGAGATACATCTTTTAAGTCATCCTTGGTAATGTGGTTGAAGAACAGCTGGAAATTTGACTTATCTGTTTTTTCACCAGCTCCCATGGCCCTTTGTGTGTTAATAGCTGGAACAATTCTCTTTTGGCATAGAGGGCCAAAAATGTGAAATGCTGTCATTAGAGTAGGTTAGGAACTTGGTGGTGAGCTTTGTGTTGAATGCTGTTTCCAGTGCCTGGTCTGTTCATTCCTTTAGGGTTACCTGCCAGCTCCTTCTTCATTATTTGTAGCTTTCTGTTCTCCAAATGTTGACCTTTTCTAAAAGAAGAGTGTAGGAAGAGAGCTGGCTTTCCTAAGAAGTGCATTCTACAAAAAGAAGCAAGATACAGTAATGAAGGAAGGAAGAGAGAGAAAGAAAGAGTGCGGGGTGGGGAGGAAGAACAGAAATCCATTTTTTGATTATGGTAGTGGGAGAAGTCAGGAAGCAGTGCTGCAAGCCTGGATTAAGTGAGAGGCCTGCCCATATTGTGTTTACAGAAGGCAAATACTAAGGTGATTACATTAGTTAAACTGGCAAGAGATTATTAATCTTGTTATTAATCTAATATTGCGGTGGTTGGAATTCAGGTAATTGTGCCTGTGGCAGACACTTCTAAAAGTTCATGCTTGACTTATACTTCTGGGGGACAAAACCTGACAAGAAATGAATTACCTTAGATACAACATTCACTTCATAGTCAAGGTTCTCTACATCCATCATTTGACACAAAGCTCCTGTTCCTGAATCTGAGTATGTGCTTGAGCTCTTTCTCATTTTATGTGCATTTTTATTCACTTGCCCACATACACAAATACACATCTTCCTAGCCTTTGTGATTATACAGAAAATGTCAGAATGGGAAATGAAGCATTAGCTGTCTCCCCAGGACTTCAGGCAGCTGGAATGAATAATTTTCAGAGGTTTGAACAAGCTTGTTCATTAAGTGAGGTGTTAACCCTGAAATTTGCAGATGACCAATTAAGCACCCATAATGACTCACAAGTGACAGTTTTAGCAAAAACACCCAGATAATTTGTAGAGTCATGAACTCATCCTGTTGGAAGCTCTGTGTAGCACAGGGTAGAAATATTTGGGTACTTCTTGCTCATCTATACATGTAGCTTTAGTAAAGCAAATGCAGAATAGTTAGGGAAAACTAAGCCCATACAGAACAATCTGTGAATACAAATAATGATGATCATTCATGGTCTCAAGTTGTCTAGTTAGATGGGATATGGATTAACTGGACAATATGTGACAGAATACAGGACCTTTTTTTTTCCACAGTGTTGGTCTACCTTGCTCTAGAATGTGAAATAATGTATTGCATGGAACCTGTGCTCTGAATTGTCCATCTGTGGATAGACTTGCCTTGATTACATGTGTGTGGTTGTTTGAGGGTGAATAAGCCTGGTCCCAGTCCCTGTACCCCACCTCTGTGGTAATTAACACTGGAGCAGAACAATAAAAGTCTAACTCAAGCCTGGCTGTGCTAGAAGGATTTGCTGTCATGTGGTCTGTTGATTGAAGGTTTTGTGGCTTCATACACAAAGAGAAATATTAATGGGTGAGTACCACCTCATATGGTGGGGGTAAGCTCTTGCCTGGGGTATGACAACCTCATAGTACCATCCAAGGCCAGTCAGAGATACCCTCCTGATGCCACCCATGCCCACATTAGGGCATGAGCTGGAAAATTTCACTTTTGTGGGACTGGAAAGTGTAACCAAATGCTGAGAATGGAAGGGGCAAGTAGATTGTTTTAACTGCCAGAAGAAAGTATAGCTCTGAATCTCTAATAAAACTGAGTCTGGTACAGATCATGTGAGTTAGGGAAGGTAGAACCAATCATGAACTTGGGTGGCTGCAAGTCAAATTTACTTATTCTAGGCATGCTTTTAAACAACTGATCCACGACATCAGCTATCTTGGACACAGGTGAGCATTTCAGCCAAGGAAGTAACCCTCTGACTCTGTTATGGTGGCATATGTTTATCCTTTTATAGAGGAATGGAGAGGATTTACTCTGGTGGAGTGCTGAAAGTAGCAATTTGAAAGAGTTTTCTTTTTCCTCTCTGTTTGGAGGCAAAAGGAAATGGCACATTTAAATGGAGGTTGACAACCCATTAGCCAAGAACTGGTAGTCCATTATATCAAAAAGGCAGGACAAAGCAGTCCAGGAGAAAATGCTGAATCTAGGCTTAATGTCAAACCTTTGAACAGAGATAAAAAGTAAGATAATCAGAAGGCTGGAAAGATCCAGTTTATCTCATCTACTGGAAACACATCTGGTTGAGCAAGGGTGGCCAAAGACACTGTCACCTTGCATTCCTGCTCCCTGGTAGGCAGAGGTTTGTCCTGGTTGTCAGTAGGCCAGGATGACACCAAGTCATGGTGTGGAAGGCTGAGGAACTTGTTTTCACCCCAACAGTAGGCAACTAAGCAATACATGTTATTTAATTGCTGATAGAAACCTGACTGGTGAAGCTGATGTATTAAATATATCACAGATCAGACTCAGCTTTGGTCAAGGAGGACCCATTTTCTGCTGAAATTAATTAATTACAGTCAAGGTAAAATTAAATTATCTGGGAGCAGTCAGAGCAATTAGTTCAGCAGCTGATGCTTTCTTTGGCTTGCTGGAAGGCACAGGTTGTGCATGTGTGTGTGAAATGGGTTCATGGAACACCTGACACTGCTGTGGTGCAGGAGATGGACTTTTCTCTTACTCCCTTGCTTACAACAAACTGTGGGTCACACCTGCACCTTCTTTTCAGCTGTAATTGCACAGCCACAGCCACTCACAGTGCCAGGGCCTGGGAAGAAAATGGTTATAAAGCAGAAGCCAAATAAAGTTATAAAGCTATGGCCAAGTAAAGGAGGGCTAAACAGCTTATTGTGCCCGCAGGGAATCTGCAGGATTTCCCACAGGCTGTTCCCACTGACATCAGGCAAAGTACCTGTTGTCCTGGTGCCTGTTGCCCATCAGCCTGTTGCTGTTCTGAAAACCTGCTCTTGCTCTCAGCAGCTTTTGGGGGAACTCACACAGCTAAACGTGGTACAATTTATCCCTTTCCATAATATGAAGAAAAGAAGTGTATAAAGATACAGTTTCAGATGAACTCCCTCTATTATAAGCCATTTCTTAACAGCCAGGACACCAAATAAATGCCACATATACACTGAATTTAATGCACGTGTGCAGTCACCGACCTCAGGGTTTTGAGCAGCCTGATCTATTAGCAAATCTGTTGTGCATGCTCCATGCAGAGTCAGCTATTAAAAATGAGAACTTCAGTAACTGTTTTGTGTCCCCTATTTACTGTGGCCTTTTGCTGCTCAGAGATTGCAATTTCCTTTTGCTTGAAGCTACATACAGTGAAAATTGGAGTTTATCCCCAATGCTTTCAGATGTGATTGCCTTCTTTGTAGGTTAAATTTCGGCCCGCTGGTAAAGCAGGGGATTTTGCTAAACCATCAGCTATGCTATTACGTGCCTTTGGGAAAGTTGCAGCACAGGGCAAAAGAGGAGAGTGCAAGAAGTATCCTATGGAATTGTGCTCTTAAATATGTATTGAGAATCAGTTACAATGATACCATTTTCCAGGCTTGTCACCTTTATAAGATTTATGGGATGCCATCTTCTAGTTTCATTATATATTTTGTCATAAGAAAAAGCCCAGCCAATAAACTGAGAACAGACTTCCTCCCAAAAAACCATTCAAACCAATCCACATGCCACCAAAACTTGCATTGGAACTTTAACTTCATAAAAACTGGAAAAACGTAGGTATGAGCTGTTCCTTCAGATTCCTCTCTTATATTGCTTTCCTTTTTAATCCTTTTAAAGGCTACTAATAGGGCTTTTTTGTTTTCTTCTGAACAGCCTTGTTTGGGAGATAAATAAATATGTATTCAAAACAACAATAAATACTGTTAGGCAGTTGTATATGCCCTAGGATCTTCCACCAGATTGGTATACATTTGTAAAGCAATAACAGAAATATTCATGTATAATCCAATACTTTAAAGAGCCCCAAAATGTACATGGAAAATCAAAGTAGAAGATAAGAGTTCTTGTCTACCTCTCCTGTTGAAAGATTTCATCTTCTCTCTGTGTGTCTATCTTGTGTGCCCTGGGTAACAGCAGCCTGGGGGGTGAAAGAATGGGTCAGGTATCCATGTGGAAAGGAAAAAAAAACCCCAAACAAACCAGTTTCAGCTGTTTGCTGATGAAAACAAAGTTCCCGTGGAAATGGAAGTCAGGGAATGTCTCAGATCAGCTGATATGCATAGTCTGGGTTTCCCAGTGGACAGACATCCATGTGGCAGAACCTAAAGCACACCAGCACAGCTGCTAAAAGCGTGTGGTGTCAGCAGAGAGGCTGACCCTGAATGGCTATGCAAAATTGATTTGTGCTCTTACTCGTGGAGATGGGAACCCCTGAGCCAAGGCTGATGCACACTGGCAGGGAGTGATGCATAGGCAACTTGTTCTGTGCTGCATATCTGTTGTGACAGAAAATAAGTGACTTGTTCTCTACTCTTGTCAGGCTAATGCTTTCCGTGGGCACCAGAGAGAAGGGGAAAATAAAAGATGAACCACAATTAAAAAAATGTGGCCAGATATGTGTCATTTCTGACACTGTCACAATAAGGTTAGTGTCTGAGTAGCTTAAGCTGCCTAGAAATGAAAAGTCAGGTACAGAAACTTGGGCTAAATTTATCACCCCAAGTGATGGTGAGAACCAGGACCTGTCTAGCAAGTTACACTGTCTCCTTCCCTTATGGGTATAAATTAACTGCATTATGGGCCACATAAATTGCATTTATACCATGCAGATTTGTAAGGGCTGTATATCAGGAAGGACTGTCTTTTCTGCTAATGACAAAGTTGCTTTGGTCTTTTCAGAGCTTGACATATTGAAGCATAATCCAGCTATTTCTTTGTTCTTTCTCCAGCATTGTCATCTTGTCCTGGATTATTTTGTTTGCCCAGTGACCGTGTTTTCCTCTTGCCATCCTGTCTTCTTGCTTCCTTTCTAAGTGAGGACAGAATGACAGTGAGTCTGGATGTGTGGCATATTTGACAGGGGCTCTTTTAATCCCATTGCTGAAATATCTGTACAACTATGTAGCACTGAATTTGTTCACTAAAATATTTCCTGAGGACTGGAAAAGAGTCAGGGTGGTCTGGAGGAGGGAGAAAAGGAAGGTAAGACTAGACTGGGTTCTCATTTGCTTGCATGTGGACCTGTAAACTTCTCTGCTGTGTACTCTGCATTTTCTTTGGACCGCTTAGACTAGCAGACTTTATTGTATTATCTTTTACTTCTGAAACAAAGATCAGACACTAATCCAGCCTTACTGTACTTGAAAGGGGTATCAGAACCCTATTTAATACTCTGAATGCTAAGAAGTGGGCTTCCTGCTTTGAGGCTTGTGGGTCAGGCCCTTTTGTACTGTGTGTGCAGTGTACTTGACTCTGGTTTTCCTTAGGGCACTGTCTCATGATAAGCAATACTGAAATACTTGTTCCTGCCATGTTCTTAGGGCACAAACTCAGACTGGATTTGATTCTCACTCATGCTCACTACTATTGTCTTACTTCATGCTCTCAGCTTGTACCAAACTGGTTCTATTCTTTGTCCCATCTCAGAGGCGAGTTCATCTTTCCTTCTGCACAGCAATCCTGACAACATTACCTTCTCTGGCCTGGCTGAAAATACACACACATTTAATCCAGCTTTCCCCCTGCCCTAACTTGTTCTCACTTCTGTCAATCTCTCCTTCAGTTACTCATCTCCACAGTGCACTGAGGATGGGTCTTGCAGAGTGTTTCCAGAAAGAAAATCCTCTGCTGCTTCAATGAGCAGGATTATATTTAGCCTGCAAGATAGTAATTCTTGCAGTACACTCAGTGCAAGTAAGACCTCAGCAGAAGCTCTGTGGCCAGTCTCAGTTCACTTAAAGAAAGATAAATATCATTTGAAGAGACTCTCTCAGAGAAAAATGGAGATACTCAAACACCCAGCTTACAAGGAAAACTTGAATGGATGGGAATTGTTCAGCTAAAGAAGAGGAAACTGGAGAGGGATGATAAAATGAATGGAAAACACAGCTGTTTAAGGTAAATAGGTTTGTTTGTGGGGTTTTTTTTGATGTTTTTTTTTTTAACTTTTATCTGTGAAGCATTGGATGAGCAATCATATGTTTAAAATACAACAAAACAGAGAAAGTTAGTTCATATGAAGAAGCTTATACTGAGTAAAGCCATATATAGCTCCCTGGGAGGTGTTCCTTCTTGTATCAGAGATCATTAAAAACAGACCAGGCAAATACCTCTTGGGAATGATTCAGAGGAATTATACATCCTGCCTGGGGAATGGAGGTTGGTTAGACAACATCTCCAGAGCTCACTAATTTAGTTGTTCTACACTTCTAAACCTGAATGATCTTCCAGGTTTGTCATTTGTTGCAGCAGTGGCAGCAGGTTTTGGTTCTAGTTGCATCTCTGTGAGTGTCAATAAAATCTTGATTTGCAAGAATCATTGTGCAGCTTGACCTCTCCTTCAGTCCTGTTAAATAACAAAAACTCTGATACAACTGCATGCAGGCTTTTGAGACAGAAATACCATATAATTCTCTCAGATAAGGCCTGGCATCATTTTCATGGGTTTTCTTTAGGGAAAGGTACGAGTACTTTCTGATTGTTATACATGTAGGTGCAAGTTTTCAGTCTTTTTCTGGAAAATAGGAAGCACTTCAAAACTGGGTCCCTCTAAGCCACTGTATCTAAAGGAAGTAATTGTATTTTTGCACTGTGGGATAACACTGCAGTAAGTGAGCAAGTAATTGTATTTTTGCACTTTTTCTGTGGGCTAACACTGCAGCTGTGGTGATTACATCTTTACTTCAGACTGTGGGAAGAATGATAAGATAAACAAGTGTAAGCAGGCTGTGCAGGAGAAGCTGCAGCGAGGGTTGGCTAAGCTCTCTCTGTTTGGCAGGGGGAGAAATGGAGACTGCCCTTATGTGGGGGGCAGATGCAAGAGTGAATTTCTAGCTGGGGAGGAGAGCTGAGCTGTGTCAGCACAGAAGGGGGTGGGAGAGCAGTGAAGGAGGTCAGCCTGACTGGAGATGGAGTCAGATGGGGCTCTGATTTCTGTCTTCCCAGTGTTTTTTTCTTCTGTGTAGCATAGGGTAGTTCCTAGATGTCCACTGGATCTTCTGGTATTTCCACTTTGTTGGGAGAGTAGTATCCTAGTCCAGGCTTGAAGGTCAACTCATCTTAGCAACTTGTAGCTGGGGCAAGTGAAAGGTACTTAACTTGTGTGAGCTGTGGCAGCTTGTGCTGTTGCAGGTAGCTCTCTAAGCTGCTTAACTCAGTTCTGCTCAGGTGTGTTGCCAAAGCTTGCTCCTGACGTCCAAATGTAATGAAGCTGGAGCAGTGACAGTACACTGTGAAATTCTCCCTTGTTTGTCCGTTCTGCTTGTTTTTGGCAAACTCTCCTCCATCTAAAGCTGTAGTTCCACAATGTCCACGTTGGATGATGTTCCTGTGAAGTCAGCCAGTCCCTGCAGCCCCAATGGGCTGGGCACCCAACAGCTTTGTGCAGGATGGCAGTATAGCTGGCAGCAGACTGGGGCTGCACCTCAGGTGTTCATTTAAAAGATGACTGGAAACAGCTGTAAGAAATCAGATATGGGTAAGACAGAGGGGACTTCACATTCCCCTTCTAGTAACAGCTTTTAGAAACTGCATTCAATTGTTAATGCACCGTATTTCTTTATACTTAGTTTGATGTGTCAAACTCTGCATCTTTAGGTGCTACATTCCTTAGGGGGAACCCCAGAATAATCTCAAATTGTGTACATCTTGATGATTTTTAAGTGCACAGTGGCAAAGAAAGCCTGATGACTTTAAAGCAAACACACTTTTTCAGTCTGAGCACAGAGCTCTCTCCTGACATGGTGCCTACATCAGGCAGTCACTTCTTGTCTCTGTAAATGCCAGGCACACAGACAATCTCTGTGTTCTCCAGATTGCAGGACTTCCATAGAGGAGGCAGAGTTGCAATAGAGGGAATGTGAAACCATTTTATGTTCTAAAGAGGCAGTTTGTTATATCCAATGTGTTTTGACAGGTAAGTGCTATCTCAGCCAGTCCTGGATGTTGCCAGGAGACACTTCAGGTATAATTAGGGGTGTAGGCTGCAGTTCTAAGCTGGCTATTGTTCATTTGTTCTGCTGCTGTGGCAGATGGGCTTTGAGTCACAAAGGCATTGCCAAGGTCTGTACTGTCTGTCCATAGATCTCCATAAGACATTGCTTATATGACCATGAAACTTGCAATGGTTGGACATCCATCTAGCTACCTCCAAGGCTGGCTCTTGCCATATGATCCATGACTATTGCTCAGTTGATAGAGAAGAATATTATGCCCTTTTAATGAACAAGATGGTTGTATTTAAGAATGCCCTGAGGTGATAGATCTTTTCCACACCTTAATAGAGCAGCAGGTGATCTTTACTTTCTAGGCATGATGCAAAAACCACTGGAGTAGCAGTAAAAGAATGATGGTCTTGTGGGTGGAAAGATTTTTGATTCACAGTCTGGCGAAGTTCGTTGTCTGGCGGCTTGGCTGCCAATAAACTGGTGAAAATGTGGCCTTGAAATAGGTAAGGATTAGCCTTTTGTCTTCCACACATCTCTCAGTGAATCATCCCTGTGCACAGATGTCCAGATACTCCTGCTTACTCAACAAATGAACCCTGCAAAGCCTCATTTATTACACACCTTTAGCAGACTGAATTTCAGGAGCCTTTGAAATCTGTAGGATTAAATGTGATACGGGCCAGCAGGGAGAGAGAGACACCTACAATATGTGATAAGAGATAGTGTTTCCAAGGGTTTCTTTTCCCCTGCTTTTTACCAAATTGTTTGTTTACAGGAAAGCAAATTGAGTGATCTGAAATTAAATTTACATTTGCTTGATGGAATGAGGAAATTGCTTTATTTGTGTTTTCCAGATTAAATTAAGTGAATGGGGTTTTTTGTTCACTTTGCTTTTATTTTTCAAAGACACGTTCCTGTTTAAATTTGAGTGAACTTGGTTCTGAAATAAAATTCTGAAATAGAAAATTCAAGCTCCATAAGAAAACACTGTGGAGGCCAGATAGCTTTATCAGCTACTCTTTAGCATGGACCTTATCAAACATTTTGAAGCAGTTTTGCTTTCAGTCTTTCCAATAGGAGAGTTTATTAGGTTGGGCTGAAAAAAATGACTGTTTCTGTACCAGACCTAGGAAGAACATCAGAATCTGGAGGTTTGGGGTACAGTGCAGAATTTTTGCTTCATCTAACTTTGCAGAGGAAGTGCTCCCTCCCAGCCTGACCTTGGCTGCTTTGGGTGGTACTGCTGGGATGGTGCTGCTCTGCCCAGTGGGGTTGCCATATGTGGAGAGGATGTGTAGAGGTGGCTCCACATGGAGCTCTCTGCATTCTGACAGTTCATTTGCATCTGCCCCAAGCTGTGTTATGACCTATTAGACTCCCTCCAGAAGGGGGTTTTCATAAACCAACTCTACATTTTGATTTACTGTGAGTTCTCTTTTTTTTCCCCTTTTCTTTTTATATGAGGAATAGGCACAGAAGATTGTTTTATTGTGATGAACTATCTCAAGCAAGGTAGGAAGGTGTGTTACAGGATAGACACAGGGTCCTCTGGCTTTACTGTTGTGTGTGCTTCTCATGTTGATCAAAGGTGTTTCCATCTGAAGGGAGCAGAACTCAGCTGTAGTCATTTGGATTGGGTTTGCAGGGAGAGTCTCTGCAGATCTCTTGGTCCAGCTCCTGCTCAGATCAGCTTCAGAGGCTGAAGAAGTGATGTTAGATGAAGGTGCTCAGAGCCTCATCCAGTCAAGTTCTGAATTCCTCCAAGTACAGCAATATCACAACCTCCCTGGGCCCTTGATTTAGTGGTGAATCAGCTTAATTGTGAAGGACTTTTTCTTCTCCTTTATACCTTGCTGGAAATTCCTTGGTGCCACTGCCTGCCAAGAAGGTTGGTCCTTATTTGAAAGACTTGATATTATTTTTTGTGATGATGACTCAGAAGTCTGGGGAGATCATAGATAAGGAAAGTAAAATAATGGATTCCTGAGCTATTACTGTTCCTGAACAGGGCCAGCAGCTTTCAGTTTGAAGGCTGCACAGTGAAAGTAAGATTAATTTTCTGCTCATCTCCCCGTTTCATTAAATTCCTGGTCTCAGCAACAGATTCATTTTGGACTATTTTCTGTTCTTGTTGCCATCTTTGTCATTGGAATGGGATATCAGCATGTTAATGCCTCATATAACCTGTGAATGATGGTAGAGCACAGTCGCTCTTTGACATTTTCAATGCCCTGTAATTTCATTATCTGGTCATTCTTCCCTTCCCCTGCAGTGTAGTGTGTCTGACATGGTGATTGCCACTTCTAATGTCTTTTTCTGGTACTACTTCCAAAGATTTTCCTCTGTCATTATGGGTGCTTTGCCTTTCTTAAAAGCAAGGTAATTCTTCGGGTGAAAAAGAACTTTATCTTGCATCCTCAAACTATATTATTTTTCTTGTGGAAGAAATAATAAATTGCTGCTTCTTTGCAATTTTCATCCTGAAGGATTTTATAGAACCATGTCAGATACATAAGCATCACTCTTCACTGTAACATGGTCACTTTTCTGAGTGGAATAGGGGAAGTCTATGTTTAAAAAGTGTCTCCTCATTGGGCTGTGGAGGAGAGAGGTGTTGTGTGTCTGACATGCTCTCAGTGTTCCACTTCATGGCATTTCTCAGATCCCTCATTATTACAAGGCTGGAGGACACTGGCAGTGCCCTTGACTTTTCTTTTCCTGTCTTTCTATGGTATGTTAAAATAATTTTTTTTCTGGGATATTGCTTTGTTTTGACTTCTGTGGTTAAAGTCTGTCTGAAGTTTGTTCAGAGGAGTTAAGAAGTGTCTTGGGACTTGCACGATTTGGGGACACATAAAGTGCTGTGGATTGCTTCAGACAAGGTGTCCCTTTATAATTCCACCTTCTTATGTAATGAGCCCATGTAGTGAATGTGTATGCAGGTGACTGGTTGAAATCCTGCTTGTAAATGTCTCTATGTAGCAAAGACAGTAGAGGTTAAGGCTTGTTTTAGGAAAAAGGTTAGGGCACTCATTAAATGCTTATACTAAACAGGAAGAATGTGACCACATTAGCAATACCTCAGTTAACAGCAGGGAATTTTTTAGGGTGTAAGAGTGGGTCTCAATCATGGATATGTTATTTTTTACTAGATGTTTTGGAAGAGTGTTAGAAGGGAGTTCAGAAGAAACCTCTCAGGGAAATAAAGTTGGAGATGCAAAACCCAGGTAGTTTGATTTGTGCATGTTCTTGTCCATTGTCCTTGGCATGTAAATCTTAAAGCCTTTATGAAGAGTCATTACCCATTCACTAGTAACTGTTATTTAGAGTTTGCAAAGGTTTTGCTTGGAATGTTTAGGTGTTAATAGGCACCTTCTCCTGAGTTCCAACCCTGTTTTGTTGGAAAATTTAATGTGGAAAATTTCACCTTCTTACTGCATCTCTTTAAAAAATTGGTTGTTAATAATAATCAGATGACCTAAAGTGTGCAGGCTGAAGACTTTTGGTTTCATCACTCGGGATCCATTGATGTTTTAATTAGTGCTAAATGCTGTTGTTTCCACCTTTTCACACAAATTTCTCATGGTGACATTACTGACTCACCTGGGCTCAAAGCAAGATGCTGCTGTGTTTGTCGCTAAATTGCTTTGGATTTAGTCTGGATTGTGGTAGACTTGCTATGATTCTTATGTCTGAAAATCTTGTAATTCCCTTCTTCCCTCTCTCCCAGGTACATCTGAGCTCTTCTGATAAACATATTAATTCTTTGTTAATTCTGGACTTTCCATGGGACTGGAGCACTGCATGAAGACTTTCTGAGAGTGGAAATACAGCCTATTTACAGTATTTAGAGCAAGGACTGACACTGCTTGCAACAAGGACATTTACCTAGACCCAGCCTTGTGTCAGAGCCCCTGCTCTAGTACAGGACACAGTGAGGTTGTGCATTTTGCACATGTCCCTGCTGAGAGCTGCCACAGAGGAGCTGGGTAGAAGGAGAGGTGTTTGTGAAGGCTCTTGGCCAGGGAAGGTCAGTCCCACAGCTCTCCCCTCTCTTTATTGACTAGAAGGGAATCCAAACGAGACCAAGCTCCTTGGAGTAGCTTTAAACCTTTTTTAAAGAGGAAACATTTACATTTAACATCTAGAAGAAGCTTTATGGAACTGACTGTTCAGCCATGCCGAGTAATCTTGCTAAAGAGGCTACCTTGTTTTACAGCTTTAAATCTACTTTGGACAGAATATTAGCAATTATCCCATGGGGAACAATCCTGTTTATTCTGGATGAGCTAATAGTCTTCTTGCATCTCTAATTTCTAGTGTGCTGTGAAGATATGGATGATTGTTATTAAAGTCTGTGAGAAGCAACTGGTCAGCTCATTGCCAAACTGCTATAATTCATGGGTATTGCACATGGGCTGCAGTTTGCTTTACGTTGCAATCCGTGTCTTCTAAATTGTTTTCATAGAGCTTGGCCAATAAAATTACAGGTTCATTATGTTCATGTGGATCTCTTGTTTAATCAAGAATGCCACACATGCTGCGAATGCAAAGCTGCTCTTGAGAAGTATGTGAATCAAATTTGCTTTATTTTCCTTTATGTTTGAATGTAAATACAGTATTCCTGAATGGAAAGGGCTCATGGCATCTGCAAGTGCTTGCAATAGCTATTCAAGAGTGCTCTGTGCTATTCTGACTCTGGCATTGGTAATCTGAGGCATCTAAAACAGCCTGAGATAATTTATTGTCTTCTTTCTTGGTAGCGAGAAGAGGGAAAATAATGCAATAGAAATAATTCAAAATCATTACGTATATCTACACATTATATTACATATAATGTATGCATATATGCATGTGTGTACAGGAAAAGTAAAAATAAGAGAATATGAGATTATGTTGTTTTGTTTTAAGGCATTGCTGGCCTCCAAGAGCTAGGGCTTGTGGAAAAACAAAATGCAACAGTCCATGAGAGATAACTTGAGCTCTGTGATGCAGTGCAGGATGCTGGTGCTCTGACAGCTTGGTTTAAAGTTGAGCCCCTGGTGCCTGTTTTTGTGCATCAATTTTGTAATGAGAGCTGCTCTGGCTGCAGGAGTGTTGTGAGGAGCTTGGAGCTGTTGGAATCAGTCTTGTGCTGGTGCAGTTACTAAAGAGATCTGTATCAATTGCCATTTGAAAGACTGGACTGGGGAATATCTTCATTCTTCTGTGTTCTACATGTGAATTTACAATAGGTTACACTTTTCCAATAACTAGGTTTGCTGAAGATTGTCTTTGGAGCTCTTGCTGTCAGTCCTGATGTAAAAAGGTCCCAGAGAAATATTTCTGTTCTGGGAGGTGTTTATAAGAAGTAGTTTGTAGATGATCATCTTAGTGAAAGGACAGTCATAAAACATCAGAGGCAAAAATGAGCCTTTGGATTTGTTTAGTCTGTCAAAAGTACTAAAAGATGTGCTCACCTTTTCCTACGTGTCCATCCTGCAGGGTAAGATGAAGAATCTGTGTTGAGTTGATACACTGACACCCCTACTTGTATCAGCTATGTGGTCCCCACTGTGCTTCAGCCTCTGGTGATGTTCAGAGCTCTCAGCTTTTGCCAGCTCAACACTTTCTCATGAAAAGTGTATTGCTCCTGTGACTTCGTGGTACTGATAAAGACAAGACCTTGTGGTGTGACTGGTGAGGGAGAGAAGATTATTGTGATGGTAATCCAGGGATCTTGAGGCAGTAAAGAGGAGAAGAAAACTCTCACAGCCCTTGCAGAATGGCCATTACAGATCTTGTGTAGTCAATTTGCATTCTTACTTTGTTGTACTGCAGTCATTCCCTCTTATGTTCCTCAAGGGGCAGAATGATTTTTGGAAGCTTTGAGAAATTTCTGGTGCACCACATAAAACATCCCAATGCAGGAATATTCAGTGGGACTATCAATGCTCTTTAGAGCCCTTCTGTGGTGATGGGTGGTTTTGATATCTCAATGCAAGTGCAAGATAACCCTATGGCCCATGTATGTGAAATTCCCTGAAGGTCATCTGGAGACCCTGCAGAGCTGCAAAGGATTTTTACAGAACATGAGACCCTGTATCTTCTCTCTTTTCTACCTCCAGATTTTGGGTCCTAGGTGTCCTTCTGATGGTGATGCAGGTACTAGAAGAGCAAAGCACTGACCCTTCCTTTGCACCCAGAAGTAAAAAAGGTCTGTCTCTTAGAGTTTAGCATCCTAAGTCTTGATCTTAAAAGCAGCGCCAGTTTAAATGTCAGTCAGCAGTCTCACTTGTCATAACCATGATTCTTATAAGAGGTTCTTGATATCATATCATATCATATCATATCATATCATATCATATCATATCATATCATATCAGTGGCTTGATATGAAGAATGTGCTTCGATTTCTCTGGCTCCTGGAGG